AGGCAGGAGGATTAGAAGTTTGAGGCCTTTCTGAAGGACTGACTATGAGGCTAACATGGGCTTCTTGAGGCCTCATCTGAAAATAAACCAAAACACACAGGCCAGGCATGGTGGCACATGCATTTAAGTCCAGCACTCAGGAGGCAGAGGCAGATGGATTTCTGCAAGTTTGAGGTTAGCTTGGTCTACAAAGTGAATTCCAGGATAGCCAGAGCTGTTACACAGAGAAACCCTGTCTCAAAAAACCTAAAACACCACACACACACACACACACACACACACACACACACACACACACACACACGCAGAGAGAGAGAGAGAGGGAGGGAGGGACAGGGACAGGGAGGGAGGGGGAGAAGGAGAGAGTATAGAGCAAAATTTAACCTGCCCCAGGAATTCCTTAAATAGCAGTTTAGCATAGGGGCCACTTTATTTTTGCATTTTAAAAATCTCACATACATGCATGTAAGTTGCTATTCTCGATATGCTTAATTTTAAACATTTTTGCGTGTATATGTACATTCACAAATGTGAATACCCTCATGGTTCTTGGCCTATAGTTATTTCAGCCATTCTTAACTGAAATGCAGGTATTAGCTGGGTGGTGGTGGTGAACACCTTCAATCTTAGCACTTGGGAGGCAGAGGCAAGAAGATCTCTGAGTTTGAGGCCAGCCTGGTCTACAAAGTGAGTTCTAGGACAGCCAGGGCTATACAGAGAAATCCTGTCTTGAAAAACAAACAAACAAAAAGAAATACAGGTGTTCAAGAGTTAATTTTTGGAGCTGGAGAGATAGCTAAGTGCTTTACAAGTATCTGTAGGCACTTGACATTCAAGTAGTGCAGACAAAACACCCATATACACAAAATAAAAATAAATACATCTTGGTTTTTTTTGTGCTTGTTTTGTTTTCCAAGACAAGGTTTCCCTGTGAGCCCTGGCTGTCTTGGAACTTGATCTGTATTCTGATCTTCAGCCTTGTAGGTTTGAAAGGGTAAATATCCTCTCAATAAACAAAACCTAGGTGTTAGGCATAGGAACAGAAAAGGTCATTCATTAATTTTAATGAGAAGCTGAATTGCGAAGAAATACAGAGAGCCATCTCAGCACTGGCTGCTCTTGCAGAGGATGGGGTTGACTTCCCAGCCCCTACAGGGTGACTCAGAGGCATCTGTAACCCCAGTTCCAGGGTTCTGATTCCTTCCTCTGAGCGAGCTCTGCAGGTACCAGGCACACATATGGTACATATATACACCTGCAGACAAAACACTCCTATATGTAAAATAAAATGAATAAATCGTTTTAAAAAATTTAAAAAATATACAGATGGATAGTAAAGGACAATAGTTCATTCAAAATGTCCAATGTGATGGAGAGGAGAGAGCCAGGATGATGGCGGAAGGTTGATAGACAGCTGAAGGAAGCTGTTCTGGAAACGCTACTTACTGTATCACTGAGCCCAATGTCAGTCGTCAGCATACCACTATAAACTAATATGAAAAAGTGACCTGTGTGAATAAGTTTAATACTGTTTTTTTGGTTTGGTTTGTTTTGGTTTGATTTTTCGAGACAGGGTTTCTCTGTATTATTTTGGAGGTTGTCCTGGAACTTGCTCTGAAGATCAGGCTGGCCTCGAACTCACAGAGATCTGCCTGCCTCTGCCTCCCGAGTGCTGGGATTAAAGGCGTGTGCCACCAACGCCCAGCTTAATACTGTTTGTAATTTTGCTATTCATATTTAAAAATAGTGTTGGTATTATTTAGATAATTTTTATTAAGTTTAAAATGTTACTTAGTTACAATAATTTTAGTTTATAAAGATTACCATACAGTCTTGTATACCGTGAAGAACAAAAATGGATCTTTAAATTCTGTTATATAGAATAATCAGTATTTGGAGTTTTTGAGGAAAATGGAAGTGAGAAACAATGGAGAGTGAGTAAAAAGGAGACAGATATTGTGTGTTTTCTCTCAGAAATCAAGATGTAAATACACACACACACACACACACAAGCAGAAGTGGGATACTTGGGAGAAAGGACCAAGGGGAGGGAGACAACACAAGTAACATAGAGGGATATGAGCACAGTACCACAATATACATGTGTGAAAATAAAATTTTCAAATTTCTACATGTCACATTCCTACCCAAAATGGTCAACAGCAGAATTTTGTGCCAGATACTAAAATAACAAAACTATTATTTTGTATAGTAACTAAAATGGCAGCAAAAGGTTAAAGGGATAAAAACTACACTTTCAGAAATAATATTTAAGGCTTTTTAAATAATTCAATACAAGTGGAAAGCCCTGTGACATGTTATGTGAGCCTTATGAATAAACCCAGCCTTATGCAAATGTAGGTGGAAGTTCTTATGCCAGTATTTATCTCACTTAATTGAAATTTTTAGAAAATTTTATTTGTATAAGTATTTGCATGCATGTATTTACGTGTGACATGTATGTTTGGTGCATGAAAAAGCCAGTGGAGGGTATCGGATCCCTGGGAGCTAGAGATATACGCTGCTGAGAGCTGCCATGTGAATGCTGAGAACTGAGAACTCAACTTAACAGCTGAGCCATCTCTCTCTCCAGTCCATATCTGCCTTATATAAAACAGTATCACCTGGCATGTGAAATGGTACACACTGGCAATTCCAGCGTTTGTGAGACTGAGGCAGAAGTTCTCATATTTGATGGCAGCCTGAGCTACACAGTGAAACTGTCTTGAAAAAAATAAACAAACAATAACAAAAACCCGAACAATAGAAAAATAATCTTATGTGTATAAATTTAATACTAGTTTTAACATTATTGTTCATATTTAAAAATGATTAGTGTTGGTATTATTTAACCAATATTTTATTATTTACATTAAGTTTGAATCCTTAGTTATAAAAGTACTAACATTATTTAAAACCTGCTATTTTATTGTGAGGAATCATTAAGTGAATATTGTTAATAAAGTATTAACTTTGATCATATGTTTTGGTGTTGTGTGGAAAGTATTAAAGTTCTTTTGCCGGTATTAAAGGGAATATATAACCAGTTCATTGACTTTTCTGAAGTGGCATGGCATTTGTTTGTTTGTTGAGACAGGTTCTTTTTATGTAGCCTAAGCTGCCCTGGAGCTCACTGTGTAGACCAGGTTGGCCTTAACTCACAGAGATCCACCTGCCTCTGCCTCCTGAGTGCTGGGATTAAAGGTGTGCGCCACCATACCCAGCCAATAACATGGTTTAATTTTAGACATTTACTCTACTATGTCACAAATATGAATGAATGCCTGTGGGTAACAGACATGTTGTGTTGGGTATTTCATGTGCTTCATGCCTCCTCATGCATTAACTCACTTTTATCTTTGAGCAGTTTTTCAGGCTTCTACATATCACAAATGCTACATTCAAAATATTCAGCAGGATATAGGTGTTTTGGTAGCACTTTAAAAAAAGTGATAAAATTCATGCCACATGAACTTCTCCATTTTGGGCATTTCACAGTGCACAGCTATGGCATTTTGTAAAGTCACCGTGTTTGTGATTGTCACTTCTTCAGGACTGCTTTCATCACCCCTGAAAAATCCCCATTAAACAATGGTTCTTTTAGTCTCCTTTATCCCTGGCCCCTGGACACCCCTAATCAGATTTCTTTCTCTATGGATTTGTCTGCATGTTTTCTGTACATGGGAACATACAATAAATTGCCCGTTTGACTGGCTTCCCTTTGCACTACAACGTTTTAAAGGTTTATCCATGTTGTGGTACCTCCATCCCTTTTCACAGACAATATCGCATTGTGTGAATATAACGCACTGTGTTTATTCATCTCTTTGGTGGGTATTTGGTTCATTTCTACTTCTTTGGAATAATGCTGCAAAGAACCCGGGTGCAAGAATATGTGAATTTTCATTTGCAGTTATTTTGGATTTATGCTTAGGAATTCTGAAACACACAGTTACTCTGTTCTTAACTTTTTGAGTAATTTCCAAACAGTTCTCAACAATGGCTACAGCAGTTTACCTTTTCATCAGCAACGTATGAGGGTTTCAAGTCTATGTAATCACCTATGTACTCAGACCCCCAGCCCCTGTGTCTTAGTTCAGGTTTTCGTGGCTGTGAATAGACACTATGGCCATGGCAACTCTTATAAAGAAAACATTCAATTGATGGTGGTTCTCTCACAGTTTCAGAGGTTCAGTCCATTATCATCATGATGGGGAGCGTGTGGTGGTGGCTGAGACTGCTACATCTCGCAGGCACCAGGAAGCCAACTGGCACACTGAGAAAAGCTTGAGCAAAAGAGACCTCAAAGCCCGCCCCCATAGTGACACACTTCCTCCAACAAGACCACACCTCCTAATAGTGCCACTCCCTTTGGGGGCCATTTTCTTTCAAACCACTACACCTGCCTTTTGCTGGCTGTGATTTAAACCAGGGCCTGGGGATGTTAGGTATCATAACATGATGTCAGAACCAGATGTACACGTTTAGTGACCAGCTTCTGGAGACAGATTGGGACAGCTGAGGTACCTTGTCTGAGTGTGGATGGAGCAACACTCATGTGCTGTATAATATTTGTTAAAGATGTGTTACATTATTTTAAGCTGTGGAGTATTTGTTTAATGATGCAAAGATGTGTCACATTCATTAGTTTGTGTTTGTGAAGCTGTGTTACTTTGCCTGCCTGAAAGACCTGATTGGTCTAATAAAGAGCTGAGTGGCCTATAGCTAGGTAGGAGAAAGGATAGGCGGGGCTGCCAGGCAGAGAGAATAAATAGAGAGAAGCAGGAGAGAGGAGTGAGAAAAGGTGGAGAGGAGGATGCCAGGAGCCAGCCACCCAGCCACCCAACCACCCAGCCAGACAGGGAATAAGAAGGAAAGAAAAGATACACAGAAATAGAGAAAGGTAAAAGTCCAGAGGTAAAAGGTAGACAGGATAATTTAAGAAAACCTGTCTAGCTGGGTGGTGGTGTCGCACGCCTTTAATCCGAGCACTCGGGAGGCAGAGACAGGCGAATTGATGTGAGTTCAAGACCAGCCTGGTCTATAAGAGGTAGGTCCAGGACAGCCTCCAAAGTCACAGAGAAACCCTGTCTGGAAAAACAAAACAAAAACAAAAACCAAAAAAAAAAAAAAAAAAAGGAAAAGAAAAGCTGGCTAAAAATAAGCTATGCTAAGGCCGGGCATTCATAAATAAGAATAAGTCTCTGTGTGATTATTTGGAAGCTGAGTGACAAGCCCCCAAAGAACAAGAGTAAAAATCAAAAACAAAATAAACCCTAACTATACTTGTCCTCCTACTCTCTTCCCCATTGAAAGAGAGCTATTGTGGGACTACTCTGACTAATGAGACACCAGCCTCAAGACTGAATAACTACTGAGTTCTCAGCTCTCAGATGTGATGCCGCTGTGGTTACTATTTTAAAATTGGCTCACTAATTTAATATATATATACATATATACTGATATTCATTTCATTGGTTATGTTCTTCTAGAGAACTCTAAGACATTGGACAAGCATGCTACCTCTTGGCTATTTCTTAACCCACAAATACTTGCTATTTTCCACTTTTTGGCTATAGCCATTCCTGTGGAAGTGAAGTGGTTTTAAAAGTCCATTAAAGATTCTTTATATATCAATTCATTGGAGGTACAATGCTCTATCAATCTTTTTCATACCTTCTATGTTTGTTTTTAATCTATAGATTGCTTTTGGTAATATGGCCTTGTTCACAATTTTAATTCTGTCTGTCCACGAACATGGGAGCTACTTTCATTTTCTAGTGTCTTCTTCAACTTCTTTCTTCAGTACTGTAAAGTTTTCATTGTAGAGGCATTTACACTTTATTTATTTGGTGTGCGTGCGTGTGTGTGTGTGTGTGTGTGTGTGTGTGTGTCCATGCCATGCTGCATACATGGAGTTCACAGGACAAGTTATGGAAGTCAGTCCTAAGCTGAGGCATTTTTATTCCTGAGGATTTTATTTTGTTCCTTGGGAGCTATTGTGAATGGGTGTGTTTTCCTGATTTCTTTCTTAACATGCTCATTACTGATGTATACAACATCAACTAATTTTTGCATATCAACTTTGTACCAAGTAATTAGTAGATCTAGGAGCTTTCAGGTAGAATCTCTAGGGTTTTAGATATATGATCATACTGTCTACAAAAAGGAATGGCTTGACTTCTTACTTTCTCACTTGTAGCCCTTTCATTTCTCTCTCTTGCCTTATCAGAATTCAAGCCCTGTGTTCATTTTAGAAGAAGCACTTAGTTTTTTCCTAGTTGGTATTCTGTTGGTGATACCTTTGTTGTATGTAAACTATTATGTTGTAATTTGGTTATTCTATTCTTTCTTTCTTTTGAATGTATACATATGTGTATGCATGCTTGATCTGGGATGTCCTGTATGCTGCAAATATATATTACCTTTTATTGGTTGATGAATAGAGCTGCTTTGGTCTATGGCAAGGAAGAATATAGCTAGGCAGGAAATCCAAGCAGAGATACGGGGAGAAAGAAGGTGGAGTTGGGTGGAGAAGTCATGTAGCCACCTGAAGAGTAAGATGCCAGAGCATTACTGGTAAGTCACAGCCACGTGACAAGACTTAGATTAATAGAAATGAGTTAATTTAAATGTAAGAGCTGGTTAGAAATAAACATGGGCCATCAGCCAAACATTCATAATTAATGTTAAGCCTCTGGGTGGTTATTTGGGAACTGGTGGGCTGGAGAGAAACGTCCAGTTACACATGCTCACTTGTGTGTGTGAGTGCACATGAGAGTACGTATGAAGGCCTGAATTTGACATCTAGAATCTTCTCAACAGCTCTCCATTTTATTTATTTTGGCAGGATCATTCACTGAACCCAGAACTTTCCAGGAGCCAGTGTGACTTGGGGGTCCTCACGAATGCTGGATTTCATGTGACCACCATACCAGCCAGCTTTTTTCTCTTCTAATCCAAACTCAAGTCTTCATACTGGCTCTTGACCCACTCAGCCATCCCCTCAGCCTTACTTTTAGTTTCTTGAGGGCTTTTATCATGAAGATTTTTCTGAACTTTGCCAAATGCCTTTTCTGCATTGACTGAGAAGATCACGTGGTTTGTCCTTGGTTCTACGTGTGTGCCGTGTCACAGTTGCTGATCTGCAAGTGCTAAGCAGTCCTTGCAACCCTGGAATAACACTGGCTCAATCATGGTTTATGATTCGTCACCATATTATTGAATTAAGTTTGTGTTTTGTTGACAATTTATGTTCATTAGGAAAATTAGTGTACAGTTGTTCTTTTTTGTTTGTTTTTTCTCTCTCTGGTTTTGGTATCGAGGTATTATTGGCTTCATAGAAGTAGTTTGGAAGCATTTATTTCCTTTTTTTGAGGGGGCATAGTTTAATGGGCATCGGAGTAGATCCTTAAAGATATGGTAGAACACAACAATCAATCTGTTTGATCTTGGGCTGTCAAGGTGACTCAGCAGGTAAGGGAGCCTGTTGCCAAGCCTGAAGCACTGAGCTTGTACCAGAACCACATGGTGCAAAGAGAGGACTGACTTTTCAAGTTGAACCTTGACCATGTATATAAACATATACACACAAACAGACAGATGCACACATACACAGACATATAGACACACATACACACACACACACAGACACACACAAAGGTAAAGAAAAGATAGTTAAAAATCCATTTGGTCTTGCAGTTTTGTTACTACTTCAATCTTATTATGTGTCTTATTGTTATGTCTTTTATTCTGAGTCCCCCATCTTCTAAAGTTACTAAATCTTCCTTTCGTGAATCTTATGCTCTTCTTGTCCCCGTTTTATTTATTTCAGCCCTGACTTTTATCATTTTCCCCTAATTTTTGTATGTGGCTTATTCTCATGATTCTAGAACCTGTCTGTATGACAGACACAAGGTTATCTATTTGAGACCTTATTGGTAGTGTCGCTCGTTTTGAGACAGGGTGCCCTTATGAAGCCCAAGCTGGCTCCACACTCATGTGCCTTCTGTTCAGCTCCCAGGTCCTGGGGTTACAGGCATGGGCCACCATGCCTGGTTCATGATTTCAAATATAGGCCTAGCCCTACTTCTTAGAATGCCTTAACCTTGTCTTGGGGGCTTTGCCACATCATCTTTTCATTTGACTCTAAGAACTTCTCATTGTCCTCATTGATTTACCCAGTGACCCACCAATCATTCAAAAGTGTACTGTCCATTTTGGCTTTTGTGTGGATCATTTAGGAGGCAGAAGTAGGCAGAATTCTGTGAGTATCAGATCAGCCAGGACTACACATTAAGACCCTGTTTCAGCCAGGCGTTGGTGGCGCACGCCTTTAATCCCAGCACTCAGGAGGCAGAGGCAGGCGGATCTCTGTGAGTTCGAGGCCAGCCTGGTCTACAGAGCGAGTTCCAGGACAACCTCCAAAGCCACAGAGAAACCCTGTCTCGAAAAACCAAAAAAAAAAAAAAAAAAAGACCCTGTTTCAAACAAATAAACAGACAAACCGATGCAACAACATCATCCCCCAAAACAACACACACACACACACACACACACACACACACACACAAACCAATGTTACATTAAACTTGGACCTGGTAACACAGGCCTGTAATGCCAGGTATTTGGGATGCTGAGGGGGAGGGTGGATCACAAGCAGCAGGCCTGCCTGGGCTACAAAGTAAATTCAAGACCTTAGGAGCTTAGCAAGACCTATATAAAAATTAAAGCAAAATAAAATAGGCATCTAAGTATGTTGCGCAAATGAAACATTAAAACTACTTGGGATTTAGAGGCAAGAGTTAGAAGTCATTCTCTGACACTTTGCAACGTGGAGACCATCCAGGGCTACAAGAAACTCTGTCCCAAAACAAAGAAACAACAAAACCTCAAAATAACAAAGGAGTTAATAGTATGAATGAGAAGGATGCCATGGACCTCTGGCATCACTGCACACCAAGAAACTCTGAGAACTAGTTGGCTGGTGCAAAGTATAGTGTTTGGAACCTGAGGGACAGAGATGTTCAGAAGGCAGTTCTTGCCTTTTAGAAGGTAGATCAGCTAATAAAGAGTTACAATTTAACAAATGTTTAAGTGACTATTTGGTCACGGTAATATACACCTTTTTTTTCAACTTTCTAAAAGCTGACTCTCTCATCTTCATCCTTTCCCCTTGAAATTTCTCCTAATTATCAAACTACCCCTGCTTCAGGAACAGCTAATAGTGCTTTGTCCCTAATCTGTTGGACTGTGATGAGCAGTCTGTTCAGGGTTAACTCTTGTGTATATGGCAACTGGCTGGAGAAGCAGACAAAGACACTTATAGGAGACTTCTGCCCAATGCTGTAGCTCTAAGAATCTCTAAAAAGCAGTCTGTTGCATAAATCATGTCCCTTTAACTCCCCCCCTTGTTCATTCACACAACTGACCATTGAAACTGCTTTAGAAACATGTCTTCCAGAAATATAGCATATTTAAAAAGCTTCCTTAATGTCACTGTGCAGAGGATGCAACTTAGTGTTTATTTACAACAAACACCTATGAATCCCACTTCTCCTAACTATAGTTCATCAGCATTCCCATCAAATTGCTACTGGAAATGTTTTCTCCCACTGCAATACCAGTTTGGTGCATGGGTATGAAAAGCAGCAGACTGTTTTCCATGATCATAGATTTTAAATATTTACTTGCTTGTACTGCATAATTTAGCACACTGGAGTTGGAAAGCAGTTTATATGGTAGCTGATTCCATGCCAGTGTTAGAGAATATAAAATCCCTCTGTGACTCCTATGTGAAATTGTAAAAATGAAAGACGTTCTCATTTCTTTTTCTAACCAATTAAAGTTTGTTTTACTATAAGTCTACAGAAAGCCTATGCTTGCAGTATACACATAATATAGGATAATTTTATATAGTTATCATATAAACCCAAGCACTGATTCTAATGGCTTGTTAATATAGTATGCCAAAAATTGAAATACAGTCATTCTGGTAATACAAATGTGATTGCTAATCTTGGTGGTCACTTTGACTGCATCTGGAATTAATTCAGACTAAGGCTGCTGTACTCTCTAGTGAGGAATTTTCTTAATCAGATTATTTGAATTGGGAAGACCCACTATATAACTGAACCACAATTTCTGGTGGCAGCCCAGATAAAAAGACACGGAAGAAAGAGACTGCTTCATGCCGTCTTGGCTCTACTTTTACCTTGTTGCTGCCAGTACTAAATCCAACTTCCTTGGGAGTCAAACGATTACACTCCCCCAGGAATCTTCCAGGGCTCCAGTGCCAGATTGGGATTGCTGAGACCTTCAGCCTCATGGATTTAGCAACAGCTAGAGTCTCTGCCTTTCAAGTGTGAGACAGCCATTGTTGGACTAGCTGGACTACATTCAGTCTAATAAATCCCCTTTCAATATATATTCATTCTATCAGTTCTGTTCCTTTAGAGAACCCTCACACAAGTCCTTATAGAAGTTATAAAAAGGCTCGGGGGATAGCTTGTGAGATACGAGCTACCTCTCCTAAATCATCAGATACGGCTCTGCATTTCAAAATATGAAACAAACTATCCAAGAAGAGAAGATAGTGGATACTTTGTTATCTATGCTAATAAATGTCCCACTTGTTGTCTTGCCCTACCTCTCCACTGATTATTTGTCCCGCTTGTCTTGCCATGCCTCTCCACTGATTATTTGACTGTCCCATGTGAATGGTGAATAAATCACTCCGCTAACTCTATGTAGCTGTTTTAATGAGAATAACATTTAAAGTAAGTTTCCCAGTGTCATAGTACAGTTTCTCCAACACTAGTTCAGCCAGCCTGGCCGAATTGCTAGCGCTTGTCTTAAAACACTACTGATTTCTAATCGCGAAACACACTTAAAAGTAGAACATGTTTTGCATTCCAGAAGGCTTTCATTTTCTTGCGTTTTAACGGTCGGGTAGCAGAGACTGCTGTCTTTTTTTTTTTTTTTTTTCCTCCTTCTAGTTTCTACTCTTATTTCTTATGCATTGTTTCAACAGTCTGTGTTACCGAAAACGATGTATTAGCAAAATTACATTTTGTCATTATTTAGTATTGCTCTCCACATTTCTGAAAAGGCAGGTTACTTCATTCCTTGACAAGAACCTGAATGCGTAATCTGAATGCACACGTCCCTAGAAGCTCCACCAGGGTGTAATCAGCACCCCTAACCACAGTTTGTCTTGCAATTAGGAGACAGTATTTTTAGCCAAGAAGGTTTGGTCATAAGGACCCAGAGCTCTGTGCATGCTGGATCTTGTAGTCCCGAGGCCGCAGGCGCTCACGGTGCGTGGCAGCTAGTAGCTTAAATGCAGTAGTTATAGCCAGAGGGACAGCTGTAAACCCTAACACCAGGCTGCTGCTCATAGATGCTCAAGACTGGGCTCTGCGCTTGCAGCCCGGGCGTTTAGCGCCCCGGGCCAAGCCGCCCGCAGGATTACGGCCTGCGAAGGCATCCGCGTCCCGTGCTACGGTGGCCGCCCAGGGCCCTGTCCCGTGCGTCCCGCGGTCGTACGCGCTGCTTGGCGCGGCTACTGGAGCCGGAGCTTGTCCTGGTGTGGGGACTCCTGCGCCGCTGTACAGTTATCCAGTCCCGTGTCGCCGAGGGGTCGGCTTGAGGCTGGCGGAGTGGAGAAGGTTGGAGTTTGGTATTTGTAGTCTCCGAATGGCTGGTTTTGTGGGGCCCTGCCCTTGGTGCAGACCCTGGCCAACCGTCTGGGTTCCTGGAGGGTGTTGGAGCTTCTTTCGATTCTTCTTCCTCGCGCGGGTCATCTTCCAATTCTCCCTCGCCCTTTGAACTGTAAGCCTTCCAGCGGCCAGCTGTTCTATCATTCTTGACCAGAGCAGGAGCGGCATTATCCCTTGCTGCCTCATCCCATTGATCCTTCCTTGTGCTACTGGGCTCACCGCCCTCTCTATTTAAAAACAAAAAAAGCGTGTGTGTGGTAAATGCTAGCTCTCAACCTGTCCATCTGTAGCCCCGTTACCCCTTTGGGGGTGTTTGCAACTCCAGTCTGTACTAAACGATGCTGACTTCACTAGTTTGGCTTTCGCTCACTCTCGCATACCCACCCACATCTAAGGGTTTTTGAAGTTTGAAACCCAGAATAACATCCTCCATGCGATCAGCATGATTTTGCTTGAGTTTACATTTCTCGGAGTTTCTTTATCTTACATTTTTGTTTTGTATCGATTACTTTCCCTCATGGAGTTCATGTCCCACCTCGGCGTTAAGAATATATCACCTTATGGCTTTTTAGTATTTGAATTACTTAGGTGGGCGTTTTCTTCTGTTTGTTTACCTTTTCTGACCTGACATTCCCGTGGGATTTTGGGTTGATTTTGTGTCAGCTGATAGCAGATAGACACAAAGACGTGATCTTTCCTGCCTGCTGCTTGTGATTTGTAATTAGATTATGAGTCTTTGGAAGTACCCCGGGGGTTGGAAAGGCTTTGAAACGTACAGACTTTGTATTTTCTGAGTTTCAAATTATAAAGCCTAAACAGGAAGATTCCTAATTAGTCCTGTGTCTGTAGCTAATTGACTGGTTCACCTGCCATAAGAATTTGAGAACTCAAGTTAAAAATGGGCAATGTGAGGAATTATATAATTTAGTAAAAAGAGATTAGAGACCACTTAATTGATGCTGTTTCTATACAATGGGATGGGTGCATATATATTTAAAAGGGATTTTTTTTATTTCTTTGTGTGAGTGTTTTTCTACACATCTGTTCACTGTGTGTGTGTGTGTGTGTGTGGCTGGTGCCCCTTGAAGTCAGAAGACGGTGTCAGATCCCCTGGAACTAGAGTTACAGATGGTTGTGAGCCACCATGTGGGTGCTGGAATACAACTGAGGTTCTCTATAAGAATAGCTAGCCGGTCCTTTTAAGCCACTGAGCCAGCTCTCCAGCCTGGATGCAGATATACTGAAAGATGTTTTGTGAAGCTGTTTCGAAGCTTTGCTTGTTTTGCGTGTTCTTTGCTCAACATTTTGTTTTACAGATATATATTTTGTCTCTTCTGGGAACTCTGCAATTTAAGTGACTTTTGTGGCTCGACTTCTAACTATTGTGTTTTAGTGTTTCTGATAGTTTTCTTTCTTTTTTTAAAAGGCATTCTCACCATGCAACCTGGGCTGGCTCCAACTCTGTTTTCCCATCTCAGGGTTCAGAGTGCTGGGTTTGCAGGTGTGTGTCCAGTGTCATTTTTCTTTAAGTGATACAATCTATACTATCAGTAAGAGTAAAACATACCCTTCCAGGTTGGGAATGTGCCTAATCAATCTGAAATGTTTTCAGCTGTGTTTAAGATTATAAACATATACTAATTTAGAATTGGTGCATGCCTGTAATTCCAGTGCCCAGGGTGCTGATGCAGAAGGAGTACCATGAGTCTGAGGCCAGGCTAGGATACAAAGTTTGTTCTAGGTCAGCTTGGGCTATAGAGTGAGACTGTATCAAAAACATAACAAAACAAACAAAAACCCTAAACTACCTAACTCCCTCCTCCCCAGTGACCTTTTCAAACAAAGAAACCCCAACATTTTTATTTTCAGATTAATTATTCATGAATTTTTTTTGGAAAAAAAGGTAAGAAGTTATATAACTACGTATTTTTAAAATATATTGTTATGAGAGTTTTGAGTTGCAAGTTGACTTTTTCTTGAGATTTTAGTCATTTGCTAGGCATTTATTGGATTCTTACTATTTAGCGAAATCATGACATTTATTGATCAGAACACCCTGCCTCCATGACTCATCTCTGTACTATATAATTTCAAAGCATTGTCTCCACATTATATGAACTCAGTGAGCTATTATTATTAATGTTTTGCAAATGAAGAAACTAAAGCTGGAAGAGTCCAGTTCTTTTTGATCCTTCCTAATGCGCTAAAGGGGCAAAGAGTTCTTTATCTTGGAATGGATAAAGCTCAGTAAATATGTGCAAAACAGCCGTTTTATATCTATCCATAGCTGTCTGACTTTCTGTCTGTCCATCTATTTTATATCTGTTCATCTATATTTATCATCTATCATCTATCTGTACTTTTATGTGCCTACTTTATATTTATTTATCATTACCTACCATCTATCACCCCCTGATGAGATTTCATCTGTCTGTTAAATAGTGGATAGGAGTTTTGTTAAGTAAAAATTGTGAGGAAAGCAATTCCAGGTGAAAGCACAGTGAACAGATCCCTGCAGCTGAATTGTGGAGGCCAGAGATTAGAAAGACACTTGTGGACTTTTCTATGTTGTCATTTGTCACACACTTAGCAGGTATGCAATGCCTGCATTTGAAGAAGAAAAAAAAAAACTTTTGAGTGAACTGATGGCCAGAACTCAGACTGAAATGAGACGTTGTGTAGATTCTGAGTAATTACATGAAGAATGGAAGGAATTTGAGAGCAGTGAGTGAAGGAACCCTTGGCAGTGTTTGCCCTTGAGTCGTGGGGATGGGCTAGTAGTCTAGCGACCAGGATGCTTAGTTGTCAGGTGTGAGGGAAGTAGACCAGGTAGGTGATTTGTAGGTTCACCTGTTTTTGTTTTTAATCAAACAATGAAATTTAAAATCTTTCAAAATGCACTGCTGTTTTATGAGTTACTGTCAAGTAAACAGGGCAAGATTGTCTATATGATGCGTTTCAGTCTCAGAGTTAAGTTGCAAAATTCTGGTGCCAGAATTTATGTCATTAGGTACTCTTTTATGTTGGCAATTGAACCTTATAACTACTTTATTTTTACTTTTAGGAGTATTTATGAATCCATTTGTAGTGTTTACCTCACATATAACTTTTCATTTTGTTAACTAGGAGTTCTTCTAGGTCACAGATATAAAGTAGAGAGTGTTCTAGTTAGGGTTTCTATTGCTGTGGTGAAACACCACGACCAGAAGCAATTTGGGAAGAAAGGGTTTATTTGGTTTATTCTTCCACATCGTTGTTCATCATCGAAGGAAGTCAGGACAAGGACACAAACGGCAGGATCCTAGAGGCAGGGGCTGATGCAAAAGCCATGGAGGAGTGCTGCTCACTGGCCTGCTCAGCTTGCTTTCTTATAGAACCCAAGACCACCAGCCCAGGATGGCTCCACCCACAAAGGGCTGGGCCAGTCCCCACTGATCACTAATTAAGAAATGGCCCACAGCTGGATCTTATGGAGGCATTTTTTCCAATTGAGATTCCCTCCTTTCAGGTAACTCTAGCTCGTGTCAAGTTGTCATGAAAGTAGCCATCACAGTGAATAAAATAGTCTACCACAACAGAATTTTCTGTGTAATGGAGCAGGCAGATATATACCAGATAGCCAAATTTGAAGTTACAGCTGTGTCAGATGCGATTACAAAAGGACTTGATGCTTTTTTTTTCCTGAGGAAGAAATACAGAGGGGAAGATTGAAGATGGGAGAGCCCAGTAAGAGGAACATTAAAATAGCCTACACGTGGGATGAGACTGTCTGGAGGAGGTGATAGCAAAGGCAGAAGTAGATGGATGAGAGGTGAGGGAGAAGAGGCCATTGACTACCCCAGATAGTTATAAGACAAACACCTTGTCACTGGATGGATTGTGGTGCATTCTTTGAGACAGAGAACATTGAAAGATCAGGTTTCCAGGACTAAACCCTTTATTAGCGTTTTTATTGCAGCAGTGATAGTAAAGATTAATTTTTATTATTAGTCTATATCATTAATTTTATAAAATTAATTTATATTAAAATATAAAAGTTATATTTATCTTCTCTCTCTCTCTCTCTCTGTGTGTGTGTGTGTGTGTATGTGTGTGTATTTAAGATGGTGTGTCACTATGTACTCAGACCTGGAACTCACTATGTAGACCAGAGTGACCTCAAACCCATAGAGATCCACCTGCCTCTGCCTCCTGAGTTTATTATATTTGAATAATGAGCTATCACTCAGATTTTCTTTGTGTAGTCTTTTATCCTTGAATGCAGAGGGGTGGAGCTGTCAGTGAAAGCATCTGGAAATGTGTTGGCATCTGTTTTGAATCTACATGTGACATGTTAAAACCATGTACAATAGTATAGGTAAGTGTGGTGGTCTGAATGAAAATGACCCCAATAGGTGCATAGAAAGTGGCATCGGGGCTGGAGAGATGGCTCAGAGGTTAAGAGCACGGACTGCTCTTCCAGAGGTACTGAGTTCAATTCCCAGCAACCACATGATGGCTCAGAACTATCTGTAATTTGATCTGGTGCCCTCTTCTGGCCTGCAGGCATACATGTGGGCAGATCATTGTATACATAATAAATAAATAAATCTTTGTTTTTTTAAAAAAAGAAAGTGGCATCATTAGAAAGGATTAGGACATGTGGCCTTGTTAGAGTAGCTATGGCCATGTTGGAGGAAGTATGTCATTGGGGGTGGGCTTTGAGGTTTCAAATGCTCAAGCCAGGCCCAGTGTTTCTCTCTCTGCCTGTTGCCCCCAGATCCAAATGTAGGACTTGCAGCTTCCTCTCCAGTATCATTTCTGCCTGTGTGCCACCATGCTTCCTGCCATGATGATAATGGACTAAACCTCTGAAGTGTAAGCCAGCCCCAATTAAATGTTGCTCTGGTCATGGTTTCTCTTCATATCAATAAAACCCTAAGACACTGAATGATACCTTAATAAATAACATTTTAGTTTTTTTTTTTTTTGGCTTGAGATTTGGTAGTAAATAGGTCATCTGGCTAAATTCTAGCTTCACTTACTTGGTTCATTTGTAAATACAAATGTTCATAGAGGAATACAGACATTCTTTTTCTCCTGCATCTCTCAACTATGTGATTTTTGATGGGT